TAGTTGCATTTCTAGCCTCCGTAGCCTTCTACAGCAGTAACTCTCATACTTAAGAAGAAAAGATTTTCATTCGTAATAGATTATTAAAGCTACTAAATTATTTCACAGGGCACCTTTTTGTTCTTATAGGACACTGGGCAACTCTATCTTCTATGTATTTTTTTTTTTATTCTTGCAGATTTAGCATGTTCTGTTGTTTTTCTTTCAATTACAAGTCTTTTCCTTTAGTATAAATTGTTTGTGGAACTTGTCTGTTTTTTCCCTTTCTCTGAAAAGGGACTGACCTGAACTTCTCATGATAAGCAAGATGCTGGTGAACTATGTTTTTTATATAGTGACAAATATATTCTGTTTTGTTCATGATTGTTCTTTTATTTTGTTTTTCCTCTTTGGTTGTTGATGATTGAGTACCTTTGATTTGAAAGAGTGAGAGAATTGCAACTTGGATCTTAAATTGTTATGTCTGTAGTTGCCCTTTGCTCCCTGTTCATTACCTTGTGTTTATCACTAGTAATTTTGCCTGTGACACTGTCCAAGCATTCAGCACTGTGATATCCTTTTGTAGTTTTTTACAATCAGTTTCTGTTTTCAGCTGCTGTGAATAAGTCTGTGTAATTAGGAAGCACTCACATTGGGAATCACTGTCTCTTTTGGTTGACTTATGTATGTTGACCTATGTAATTTTATTTTGGAACCCTTCTGGTAACTTTGCTTTATTGTGATGACAGCAAACAAGACATGATATTTTTCTCTTTAAATAATTACTAATCCCCCAGAGAACCCTTTCTCAAATCTTTATTATAGATAGTTTCCACTGCAGTCCAGTGAGGACAGTGTTTGAATGCCTTTGGGAAGACTTATGTGGTGTATACCGGTTTAATCAGGGTTGGTATGTGAACCCTTCAAAAGATGTCTGCAGTAGTCCTGTGAGATGTTACCTTTGCTTTGCAAAAGCTATGTTAGTTCCCTTCTCCTTTTTTTTAATTTATTCAGCTGTAGTTTCTATTAGTTAATCTACTGATAGAAATAGGATTGTAGTCTGGCTAATTGTTCTCACATTCTGCTTAAGTAATTGATTGCAGATACTGAAATAAAAAATTGCTTCCTGTCTTTAGAAATCTTAAGTGACTGCCACGTGGCCCTAGTGATTTGTTCTAAAATCCTCTGGTGTTAGCACTTTGTGACATTTTTTTCTCTGGCCTGACCCCTAGAAAGAGAGTTTAAGATATAGTCTTTCCTGATCTTTTCCTTACTGAACATCAATGCAAAGAGTTTATTCTGTGTTTTCAGCAGTGGTTCAGGCTTCTTGAGTATTCTTTAGGAAAATTTTACTGTTTGTAAAATTGACAAGAATTGGCATTTTAGACAAACTGTTGCTCTGACATAGCTCAGTAGCCTGTCTTTAACCACATCTAGCAAAAGGTAAATAGGGCAAATGTATATGAAATATACTCCCCCAGTACAATTCCAGCATCTTTGCAGGTCAGAGACTTCCTGATAACAGTCTTTATAGTGTTTTTGGGGTCTTTTTAGACTGGTTGTATACTTAAAACAGTGAGTTTTTTAAAACGCCTTTGTGCTCTTGAGCTTTTTGTTCTAGCTGCTCCATTTCTGTTCCTTGTGCTTAGGTTGTTCTCCTTTCTGAAGTCAGATGTTGAAGTAATGAGTTTTTTTTATTTTTAATTTTTTTTTTATTCCCCTGGGAATTTAAATACGCTTTCAGGAGTGCTGTCTGGGTAATTACATGTTGAACATATGTGAACTATGGCTCAGAGTTAGACGGGGAGTTGTTTTTCCTTCTGTCTTCTGTTTTGTCTTCTAACTGGTTGCAGTTGGCTGTGCTGTAAAAATTTGTCCCCGTGGTTCAATAATGAGTTGGTTTGGGGTTTTGGGGGGTTGGGTTTTTTTCCCATTTTTTGGATCTGCCGTTTGCCCTCTTCCCGTGGTCTGTACAACGGTAGCTGAAATCTTCAGTTCTGGCTTTGCTGTTCCCATTATCTCACATGTCCTGTCACCACTGAATGGAAGCGACTGATAGTACACCATTGATATGCTGTTTCTGCTAGTTTGGATGTGGAATTTAAATGTAGCACAGTACCTGTTGAGGTAAATAATTTGGTTACGATCCTGTGCTTTCCTTGGAGAAAGTAGTGTTCTTTTGCTGGGGCAAATGAGTCCCTTTCTTCTTGTTCCTGTATTTGTATCTTAGTGTAATACTGTCTCCTAAATTTTATTCATCTGTTCACATTTGAAGATGTCTGAGTTATGTATTATCTTGAAAGTAGTCTTCGAGGTTTTCTTTTTTTATTTTTAGGCTTACAACCTTTTTATGGAAGCAGTTATACATGCTGGTCCTACTTTGGATGTCTTTTTCAAGTGCTCTATATTGGTGGAACTGTAGTTTAAGCTGGATTTCAGTGATTCCTTTTGATTTTTGTATCCTTGCTCCAAGTGTACATAACCATGACTGTGCTCTTCTGCCACCTTCATTCTGGGTGTTACTAATGGCACTTGGTAAAGGCATTTAAATTCCAGTTTCTGCTTTTGTTAAAGTGGAGTTGATTTTTTTTTTTTTTAGGTAGTCATACACCCCACCTCAATTTCTGCAATTCATGATATATTTAATTGTTATCATTCAGCAATGGAGTTAAGACTTGACCTGAGTGTTACCTGGCTGACTGTCTTAAGAGCTGTAGCAGTTGCCATCCTTCTAAACAAGAGCCTGCATTTTGCCTTTTATTTATTTGAGAAATTAAGCCTTGAATATAGCAGTGGGGTTGTAAATTATTTCAGCATAAAGACTTGTACAGGTGAGTGATGTAGCCTAATTTAAGAGGGACGTACAAGGCATAGTTCAGGAAGGGCTGTTGTATATTGGCAGTGCCTCTGTTTCTGTCTAGATGAAATTTTGCTGCCTGTGCAGCAGCAGAAAGCCTTGTGCTTATTCTGCAGCAGTACTGAACATGCATTTTCTGCAGACCAGGTCTCACTACTTGGTGGTTTTGTTGGTTTTTGTTTGTTTTTCTTCCAAAATCTCACCCGCTCATTCAGTGATCAGTCTAATCAATCTTACAGGTTCTAATAGTTGTATTTCTGTTGTTAAGCATCTTTTGCAGTTGCCAGTTGTAAGGTGTGAGTTTTTTCCTAGTTTCCCATTCTAAACCTCCTCTTTTTCACTCTCTAAATCGTTCTTTTTTTTGGTAGTTTTTAATTTAGAAATACTGACTGTGGCATTGGCTTTGTGGTTTTTGTGTTTCTCCTTGCTACTAGCACATTTAGAAAGTAAGCTACCTGATTTTGCACATTTTTTGAAAAATAATTCTGATTTTATGGGTAATTTTGTTGCAGAGGAAGGAACTATTTGCAAGGAAATATATGCAGATTTGGCTTATGATAAATGCAGTAACACTTAAGCACACAAACTTTTTTTATTTTTGTAATATCTAACAATACAGGTATTTAAAACCTTTCTAAGAGCTTTGCAGAAAAAGAATTAGGTTTAGGCAAAAATATACATGTTTTGGATCTTAACTTGGCTACATATTATGTGTGTGTACTGTAATACAGACCAAGTCTGTCTTTCTGCTAAGGATTTGTAAAAATAGGAATAGCAAATGTTTGAGTCAGGCCTGAAGTATACTCTTGGCATAGTCTCATTTTTTTCTTCACTCCTATCTGTTCAGGTGTATTTAAAACCTTATTAAAAGCTTTATGTGCCTGTGATGCTTTTGTCCTTGTAGAGAAAGAAAATACATGAAATAAACCTGTGAAACTAAGAATTGAATTAATTCTTTTCAACAAAAGCTGAGATGCAGGAAAATCTAACTTTAAATTACTCAGCCCTAGAGGGAAAAAGTAAGATACCTGAAAGAGAATATTGGATTAAATTAATCTTCAGTGTAACTGACTGATTTCCAGGGAGGTACAAGCCAACTGCATTGATAATGCAATTTTTTGTAAGAAAACCTCTTTCATTCCAATTCAATGTTACCTTTATTGCAGTTCAAATGCTATTACATAATGGTATTTGGCTGTAAGGCTAACATAGGAAGGAATTAAAAGGTGGTCGCCTCTCTTTTGGATTAATCGGGTTCACAGCTTTCCTGCCCTCCCTGCTCCTGCTCAGCTAATGGACAAGAGGGCTTGTATAATGTTGTAAATGTGTAGAAGAGTATTTGAGCTTTATTCCTCTGGGCATTTTTACTGTCCGGGGATTTTAAGGGCTGTCCAAACAGTAGATAACTACACAAGTTGATACTCTTTCTTTTAAAAATGCTGCCAACTCTGGGAAGCCTAATGACTATTATAAAACCTGGAGAATAAATAGTGGCTTGAACTTTGAACATTTTCAGTCTCATGTGAATAATCATATGTGTTAATATAAGCTATGGATGCCTGAATTTGTGCTAAGCATCACTGCAGTGCATATATACAGCCTGAAAATTATTAGCAATGCAAGGTTTATATTGCGTTGTAGGCCAGATTTATAATGTATGTTCTATAATTTTCCTTTTATATCTTAATTTTAGCATAGTATATTGTCCTGCAAGCAGCAAGGAGGTTGACCCAATAGAAAGGAAAGAAATGTAACTGCTCAGATTTTTTATTCTCAGTTTACTTGAACCATTTATTTCCTTAATCCTGTATTAGAGATATACTTCTTAATTCTAGCGTTTGATTACTTAATTGCAGTTATGTCTGTCTGTCTTTTACCAAACATGGTAGTTTTTCTCTCTGTCTATAAAGCATCAAACAAAGGATTCTCAAAGTGTGATGTGAGAGTAGAAAATCTCTAACAGTCCTGTTGCTGCTTGACTCACAGCAATAATTGAAGAGGCTCTTGTTCTCTTTAACTTTGTAGGATGATAGTACTGAAAGTCGGGTTTTAACTTCAACTATAAGTTTAGAAGGAAGTCAGTTTAAGGAACATAGTTGGTAGATGAGGCTTGAGATGAAGAAACCATTTTGAATAGCTAATATTTGTTTTAACCCTTTTTCAGAACACACTACTTTTGTGAAAGGCAGCAAATTGGTGCAAGAGCAGTTTCCCCACAGGAAATAAAAGCACTTGGAGCAACTTATTAAGGTAAACAGATTGCAGTGGATTTCTGGATGGGTAAGTATTGATGAGCAGGGCATTTCTTCTTCTTGTATTTGCTTTCCTGCATAAAGATTTTATTAAAAAGCACAGAAAGCTACTTCTAGCCTTTCACAAAAGCATAGTGATGACACACATCAGTGTATACTCCAAGACATACCCAAATTATAACACAAGTATGTCTGTATTTTTCTTGTCGTATAAATCAAGTACAATTTAACTTACTGATTTTTAATACAGATGTTTTTTAGAGTGATCTCAGGTCCTTTAGCTTCAATTATATCCGGCTTGACTTTTATAATTTTTTTTTAATTCATGGTAGAATTGACAGTTATGAAGAACAGATTCCCCAAACTGAGCAATTACTAAAGGCAAACAAAACCCTCCAGGCAAAGTAGCTGTTAGGAAGGAGCCTGAATAAGCATCACTTGCTGTTAAAAGAGAGGAAGTTACTGAAAGTTGCAGTAGAACATGACTTAGTGAGTCGTGGACTTCAAATGAGCTACCAGTGGTAGTGGCTACAAATGAACGGTTGCTATCCACTTTCTGCTGCTCAATAATGTGTCTATTCCTGTCATGTGCAATGGTTTCGTATATCCCTTCCTTGTTCCATTTGTCTTGGGGCTACCTAAGGACCTTTGGCAGTGTGTAGTTGGAGGAAAATCAGTTCAATTTCAAAGTTGTTAATATAAAGAAAGATGTTGCCTTTTTTTTTTTTTTTTTTTGCTAGGCACTTGGATATGTACTTCAGCCTTTTATCATCTAATTGTATTTATATTGAAACTGTAACATTTCTAATAGGAATGAAATTCAGTAGGAATTCAGATTTTCTTTCTGCATGTCTGACTTTTGATCATGCTTTGCGGTCTAGCAAAAGCAGTGTTAAAGGCTCATTTTGTGCTCATGTGGTGTGGGAAAGGGACTGAGATATCAGGATAATGTAATAAATTCCATCAAAAATTTTATTCCTATGTATGTATTGCTAAACATAACGATGTTTAGCTATTGTGTGTGAAATGTTAGTTATGGCAGTATTTTTTTGCTAGTATAGGATTAGAAAATAAGTGAATGTTAAGACATTCAAAGAAAAGCATAGAAAAACTTTGGTTTTGTCTTTACATTATCTCAGGAAAAATAAAGTAAAAGTTGGAACTATTAATTCTGTAGTTATTTTTAATAACTGTTGTTGTTAAGTTGTATCTTACTCTGAAATTTGATGTGGTTTTTCTTGCTTCGTTTTTCTTCAAACAGCAGATCTGGAATGGACACAAGTCCTCTGGGAGGATTAGACCTGTCTGAATATACTCCTAGTCTGCTAGGGAATACCACCATGGCAGCAGGTCTTGCAAATGTAGGAAATACATTTGGAGGGCCACAGAGTTCTTTAGTTTCTAGACCTAATAAATTCCAAAACTCGCCTATAGAAGATGATGATGATGTAGTTTTTATTGAACCTATACAACCTCCGCAAAATTCTACGTCACTGGTGGCAGATCAAAGGAACACTGCATTTACATCATCCAAAAATGAAGAACTTCAAGGGAATGATTGCAAGATGCTTTCTCCTCCAAAAGACTTAAATTCTCAAAAGGGGAGTATAAGTGAAACTATTATTATAGACGATGAAGAAGACATTGAAACAAATCAAGGACAAGAGAAGAATGCTTCCAGTTTTAATGAACGAAGACTTCCAGAGTGTAAAAATAGAACCAACGAAATGGAATTCTCAGCTTCCAGTTTTTCAAGAAGTAAGGTAAATTCAGGAATAGATAATAGTGGTATAACCACAGAACCAGACTCTGAAATTCAGATTGCTAATGTTACTACATTAGAAACAGGTGCTTTGAGGTCTGTCAGTGACGGTCATTTAGAAAATACTGAAGGGCATGACATGAACTTAATGATTACACATGTAACGTCACTGCAGAATGCCAGCTTGGGAGATGTATCTAACGGACTGCAGTCAAGTAATTTTGGTGTTAATTTGCAAACATACACCCCATCTTTGACTTCACAGACCAAGACTGGTGTAGGACCTTTCAATCCTGGTAGAATGAATGTGGCTGGAGATGTATTTCAAAATGGGGAATCTGTGACTCATCATAATCCTGGTAAGTTGCAATTTTGAATGTTTCCTTAAAAGCTGAAAATAAATTGTGAAATATTTGATTTATAGAATATTTGATTAAAGTATTTTAGCAGTGTCACTGCTTAGTCTTTTATCCAGTACTGAACAGGCTGCCCAAGGAAGCTTGTTGAGTCTCCTGCCCTGGAGGTATTTAAAAAAGGTATAGATCTGATGCTTGGGACATGGTCTAGTGGTGGACTTGGCAGTGCTGGGTTATGGTTGGACTTGATGATCCTTAAGTGTGTTTTCCAACCTAAATAATTTTATGATTATATATGTGGTTTGGAAGATTTCTTCAGGTTCAGTGTTAGTCTGTTCCTCTTGGCTAAGTACCTCCACTGTATATGAAGCAGCAGGTGCGTAACAGCAAAACTTCTGTGTAATGCATTAATTTAGAACCTAATGTCCTCAGTAAGCATTGCAGTACATTTGATAGAGTGGTTTGGGTTGGAAGGGACATATAAAGATCACCTAATCCAACCACCCTGCCATGGGCAGGGACATCATTCACTGGATGAGGTTGTTTAAAGTCCCATCCAACCTGACCTTGAACACTTTTCAGGGATGGGCCATCCACAGCTTCTCTGGGTAACCCATTCCAGTGTCTTGCCATCTTGCCACCTTCATGTAAAAAATTTTTTCCACATGTCCAATGTAAACCTACCCTCTTTCAATTTAAAGGCATTGCCTCTTGCCCTGTTACTACAGGGCTTGTTAAAAAGTCTCCATCTTTTTTTATAAGCCCCCTTTATATGTTGAAAGGCTGCAATAGGGTCTCCACAGTCTTCTCTTTTCCAGACTGAGCAACTCCAAACTCTTTACCTTTCTTCACAGGAGCAGTGTTCCAGCCTTCTGTCACTTTTTATGTTCCTCCTCTACCTGCTTTAACAGGCTCATTTCTGTCTTGTACAGGGGACCCCAGAGCTGGATGCAATACTCTAGGTGGGGTCTCACCAGAGCAGAGAAGTGGGACAGAATCACCTGGAAGCACCCTGGTGGCTCACGTTCAGTTTTTCATCTACCAGTGTTCCCAGGTCCTTCTCTGCAGGCCTGCCTTCAATCCATTCAGCCCCCAGTTTGTATTGATATTGAGGCTTACCCTGATGGAAAGACCTTGCACTCGGTCTTGTTGAGCTTTATGATGTTCACATGGGCTCATTCCTCAAGGCTGTCGAGGTCCCTCTGCATGGCATCCTATCCTTCTGGTTTATCAGCTGCACCACTCAGCTTGGTGTCTGCAGTAAATCTGCTGAGGGTGTGCTTAATCTCACTGTCTGTGCTGTTGGTGAAGTTACTAAATAGTATCAGTCCCAGTATGGACCCCAGAGGGACACAGCTTGTTACTGGTTTCTACTTGGACATTGAGCCATTAACTGTGATTCTTTGGATGCAGTTATCCAGCCAATTCCTTGTCCGTCAAATCTGTATGTCTCTAATTTAGCAGAAGAATGTTGTGGGGGACCACGTCAAAGATCTTGGAGAAGTCCAGGTAGATGAACAGAAGTCCATGTAGATGAGTTTCACATGCTTTGGACTGGAACTTAGGTTTTGTTTCTCTCAATAGTTTTTGTGCTTCAAAAATGCTTCAGAAACAGAGCCAACACCTAAATTGAGAATGCATTTCAGAATTGCCCTGATCTGAACCAGGTTATTAATGCAAATGTTTTGAACTGTGTACCTCTGTAAAACTTCAGTACTATGTTCTTCCCCACCTCTGTCCCAAGTTGTAATGACACATTTCTTTCAGCTTGTTTAAAAGATGTCATTTTTGCAAGATGGCTCTGGAAATAAATGGTACAAATGAGAATAAGGAATAATTTTATAGCAGTTTAGAGCAGGAATGAATAAGAAAGAATGGGAACAACCTGAAAAACCATTGTGGTAAGAAGTTGAACGTGAAACTGTATAGCCTCATAAACTTGGCCAATAAAGTATTGCAGGTAGGAACCTGAAGGATGAAGACATAAGGCAGTGAGGCATGGAAACTCATCAGCAATCAACAAAGGAAGTGTGATACACCTTCTCAGTTCAAGGACATGAAAACCAGATTTTACAGATCTTTGCAGAGATTCTATAGCGTAGGAGGTAACATGGTTGAGAAGTGAGATGTGAAAATAAGGCACAATATAAAAATGAATATTTTCTTTTGGTGTGTTTGTGGAAGAAGAAATGCGACAAAATGTCAGGGATGACCATTTGAAGCCTTAAAAACTAAGGAATAATTGAAGTAGTCTTAATGAGGTACTAGAAAGTCATGGTGAAAGTTTCAAACCCAAACGAGTCCAGCAAACTCCAGTTTTCATGAGTTGCAGTTGAGCACTACTGGAATTACAAGCAGATATAACTCTACTGCACATGCTGTGCATTCCTGATAAGAGAGACAAAGTGCTTTCACTTGAAATCTGTGAGAAAGGTGGAGAATCTCAAAATACTTCGAGGTGTTAAGGTGGTATATATATCTGAAGTAGTAGATGTATAGAAAAGGTTGAAGAGGGCACTCAAGTGAATTTTAACTTTAAGCACTGTGGTAGCTTGTCTTAGTTTGTCAGTAACGATACTCATGCTTTCCAAAGTAAGCCTCTTTAAAGAGAAATGTGTTTTGTTTTGTGACCTTTTCCTCTTCCCCTCACCTCTTTATTCCAGCTCTTCTCTTTACCCTCAAGCATTACAATGGCTGAATTCCTAACTTGTCTTACATGTCTGAGAATTAGGACATCCTTGACAGCTACAAAGTCACACCAGAAAATTATCTTTTACCTGCTAATGAATGTCTGTTGTTTGTTTCACTAACAAGGGTTCTTGGAACTTTGTCCCTAAAATGAATTTTAAAGTAACACATCAGAGTATGTTGTTAATAAAACCTTTGGGGAAAGAAAGGACTTCAGAAAATAATATGAGGAAAGGATGCCTTCTTCTTAATGAACAATTATGGACTAAGATAATGTTCCTTAAGAAGGAGGTATAGTCGGTTACTGACATCTGTAGATTGAGGGTTTTGTTATCTGAAGTCATAGAATTTAAAATCATCTTTCTTATATTTGGGTATTAATACCAGTTGTAATAACAGTCCAGGAATACTCTGAATTACTGCAGTAAGACATTCAAAGCTGTAAGTCCCAAGTGCTGTGACACTATTTGGTATAACAGACATACTGTTGAGAATTTGTATAAATGTTTTTTGTAATGCAAAATTGTTTTTATTCAGTTTTAATTCATGTTTAAGTAATGTTTTATTATTAGCAGTCTTCAGAAGCTCAACATTCCTAAATTCTGGTGATAATTGTTTTGAATGAAAGCTCAAATTCCAGAGAAAAGTCTAGAAACGAAATTTTATTGGGGGATTTCTTTTTCCACCAGAACTGTATATTCTGCTCCAAACCAAGATATGGAGCATGTAACTTAACATATGATCTTTCTAGATGTATTGCTTTTAGAGAAAATGTTTTGCTTACATTCTCGTTCTGCAAGTTACTTATGTAGCAGGTTATGCTACAGAAGTTTGGGCAAAGATGACTTTGTTCCATGGTAACCTGTTTTCCAAAAATACAGATGGAAGACTAGTGCAGTCTGGAACATGGAGTCTTGGATTTATGTATTGCCAGAACTAAAGGAAATATTATTTTCTAGGTTCACTGATTTCTACTGAGGAAGACTTGAAACTCTCATGACCTTTCAAGTTTGCACATTAACTGGTATTCCTTGCATTGAAAAGGTTATTGAGAAAACCACAAACTTTTGCAGGAATCAGTGGCATGGATGCAGATCTCAGATGTGGAGCCACTGTGTTTCACTCTATCTGCAGTATAGTTCTCTGGCTGTAGGCTGGACTAGGAAAGGAGTATGGGGAACCCCAGTTCGAGGGTTTGTCACCAGTTACAGCTTCAGAACAAAGTAACTAATGAAAATTTAAGACTTCACGTTCTTACAAATTTGCAGAGTTTGTCTCAAACATTGGTTTAGACATTCCATGTTCTCTGTTGGTCTCTTTTTATCTTTTAATTGCAGTTGCTAACTGCAGTGTTGTTTTTCTGAAGATAAAATTGCCAGTTTGCAAATCCAGTGCAAGTGAATCAAAGTCTGCAAAACTTGTCACTAGATGTAAGATAGGACCATCCTGAAATTTGCTAATGTTCTGAACGGAGAAATAACAACGGAGAATGGTACCATCAAATGGGATTTTACTTTAAATCTGAATTGAAAATATCTTTCTTCTGTTAGTTCCAACAGAAAAATGATTTTTATGATCATACGTCTGTGAATGTTATTCTATATATATGTATGTACATTCTCTTCACTTACTTTTATTTTTGTTTGGGTTTTTTGTCTTGAAGATTCTTGGATATCTCAGTCAGCTTCCTTCCCTAGGAATCAGAAGCAACCAGGTGTGGATTCCTTGTCACCTGTAGCATCACTTCCTAAGCAAATTTTCCAGCCTTCTGCCCAGCAACAGCCTTCTAAACAGGTTAAAGTCACATGTGCGAACTGTAAAAAGCCTTTACAAAAGGGACAGACTGCATATCAGCGGAAAGGATCGGCTCACCTTTTTTGTTCTACTACCTGCCTCTCATCATTTTCACACAAACCCACTCCAAAGAAACTTTGTGTTATGTGCAGAAAGTGAGTTTTTTATTTTGTTTTACATTAGCAACTAAATCCAGTAATACTTGAGATACTCATGCGTGTGTGAGAGTTGCTCCATTGATAATATAAAATCTGATTATATAACTAGTTTATATAGTGTCACTTTAATGTTGTTTGGAAATGTTGAATTCGCTGTGTCTGCTGTAGCAAAAAAAAATGTACCAGCTTTTGAATTCAGAGCATGAGAAATTGTTGCATTAAAAGCCAGTACACTAAAAATAACTGTTGGGGTTTTTTAAGACAAGGTGTCCAATTATAGTATAACCTGTGACAAGATATACTTCATATCTGAAGTCCTTTATGGAAAAAGTGGACTCTGTGTTATGTAGAAAGCACTCATTTTGATAGATGAAGATACAAAATCAAGAGACTTTAAAGGGAGGAGAAACTGATAATTGCAAGAAACTGGAAGAAGCTTGGGAGCTCTTCCAGTCTTGGCAGTATGGTGAGAGGAAAAGCCTTATGTTTTTGCCATAAGTGGGGCTATTATGGCAATTTTGTAGCTGGAGAAACCTTAAGTGGGCAGCACAGAGGGAGTGGCAAGCATACCTAGGAGTGGCTTATTCTAAGTTATGGCTTAGGTTTGACTAGTAATTTTTCACTATTTGCTAAACCTAAATTGCCAAAGAGAAGTCTTCTATAACTGTGTTCTTGTAGTGTTAAATGTACAAAATAGCTGTACTATCTTTTTCTTTCATTGTACTGATTACTGCACTTTCTCATGTTCTCAGTCTGGTACATGCTGTGGTGGCCCTGGTTAAAGGACAAATTCTTGCTGAACTAAAGAAGGCTTGCAGTAAAGACTGCCTTTGTTAATGTGTGCTTTGGGGAGTGTGGTCTTTGCTCAATCACAGATTTAAACTAGTGTAAAGGTTTTACTTCGGTGTGCAGTGGATTAATGGCTTGTAATCAGATGTAAACTACTGGTTTGTTTTTTTTTCCTTCGTGACACTCACTAAAAATAAAGTATAGAAAATTGTTGATATCCTGTGTATTCATACCTTAGTACACTAAAAACCTAGAAGATTTAACATATTGTATATTTTTTAAAATATGTGTAAAAGCTCAAATTCTCTGAACCCTTTCCTCTACAGGGCTAGTCAAAAGCAATCTCTACTCTTTCTGTTAGCACATGTTATGTGTTTATACACTATTATTTTTTTAGAAGTAATTTGATGACTACCATGATCAACTAACTATGATAAAGTTATACTTAATCTGTGTATTGTAAGAGACTACATACAAAACTGCCCCAAATGAAAAGGTTTTATTTTAAATTATGAGTAATATACTTTATTTTTAAATAACCCCAAAAGCTGGAAATAGTTTTACTGTATTTAATTTCTAGACAACCTCTATGAAGTGACCTTTGGCAATTTCTGAGGTGATGTTGGTGTTTGCTTTTCCACTACTATGCTGTTTTTAGTTAATTACTGTTAAACAGAAGGTAGCATATGCATTAAATTATTCTCTGTAGTGTGATTTCATTATGAAGCTCAGTCTTATTCACCTTTTTTTGCTACTGGGCGGTAGCACTCCAGGTACCATCCCCCATGCTTGCTTCTGTGTTCTTTTCCTACTAAAGAAAATGTAATATCAGATTACAGTTCAGTGAAGGCTAAGAGGACTTCAGAAAATCCAGGAGATCTCAAATGTAGGTTGCATAGATGATAGTAGTTGTCAGGTCTTTTGGTTATCATGTCAGACTTTTGGAGGTTGTGCTTAGATGTATCTTTAAATACTTAGATTTCTTTGAAGTGGAGAAAGTAAAGCCTACAATAAATTTTTTAAAGCATTGTATAGCTCCATTTGAAAAGTCAAAATTCCTAGGTATTTTATTGTAGTCCACTTTTCTGAACTTTTGTAACTACATAAGAAGGAAGGTATAGGAATTACCTGGTGTTCTCCTTAGTGTTTATAGTTTTTACTGTCTTGTGTCACTCTTTGACTTGGCACTGGTCTCCTTTGGTGAAAGTTAGTATGTGCTTTTATACAAGTTAATAGCATGTGTAAGTCCTGGTGGAATCCTACCAGAAGCCATAAGCTCCTCGGAGGTGGGAGCTCTGCCTTTGTTTTGCAGAACAGCAGAGATAGCACTCCCTAGTACGGATCTTACTTGCTTTCCAGAAAGTAAACCAAAATATGCTGACCTTGATGGAAGAAGGCAGGCTTGCAAGTGTTAATATCCAGGGGCGGTACAATTTTATTTTCAAGGGAGTCTGTCTAGGCAAGTGTATCTTTTTCTAGGTTTATTTCACTCATCTTCATTATGGGGCTCATAGGTATTGAGTGTCTTGGGCATGTATTTTCCAGCTGGTGATCCAGATGTGCCCAGTCAATTTTTTTATATATTTTTACCAATGGCATTTCCTGTATGTCAGTAATAGCATTTTTTTTGCTTAGAAGGCAAAAGGGGAAGCTTTTATTTCTTCTCCTTGCTGCTTCTAATGTATGGTATGTGATAGTTTGGGATGGTATAAGTAAGTTTGGTTAGAAGGTTTGTTCAATTCCAAATTAGTTTTATGATGGTTGGTTTTCTGGTTTAATGCATTAAATTTACACAGTTTCATGGGCAACTGCATGAACTGTTGAGGTGCTGTGGAACTTTAATGGTGGAATTAACTTTTTTAAATTTTAAATTGCAAAACTTTAGGACAAGTTTGTGGTAGCGTTTTAAGCTTTTTGGTTGTATTTATAAGTTTCAGAAATATGAGAAAACAAGTCTCTCTCTCCTTCTCATCTTATCCTGAGATTAATACTGGAAATGGTGGAGCTATGTAGAAGTAAAGACCATTTATTATTTTTTTACTATGAATCTTGAGTTTTTCATATGAAACTTAAGTATGTAACTTTTATGTAAAGTTAGAAAATGGCTTGTTCAAATTTGATGTTAATTTTTTTGTATAAAATTCAGTTTGACACAACTGCACCTAATGGTGCATTAATGTTCTTAGTTCTAGAATAATTTAATGGGGAAAAAATAACCCAAATCTAAAGAAAATAAAATAGGGTTTTGCACAGTAAAGACTTACTTGCAGTACTTAGAGTAGTGTAAAAATATTGTTAAATTTAGTGTTCATCCTATCACTAACAACTGTACACTAAATAAACTTCTGAAATGTAAGCATTGAAAGGAAGAATGAATCTTATAACATATGAAGTGTTCTTGTTTAAATATATGTATGTATTTACACACAAGCCATGAATTCTTTTTTTTGTCTTTCAGAGATATAACAACAATGAAAGGTACCATAGTTGCTCAAGTAGATTCAAGTGAGTCTTTTCAGGAGTTTTGCAGTACATCATGTTTATCCTTCTATGAAGATAAACAGAATCCCTCAAAAGGAGCTTTGAATAAATCAAGATGCACTATCTGTGGTAAACTAACTGAGGTCTGATTGACTGTTTTTTTCCTCTTATCTTTCTCAATAATGACGTATTCACTTATATTCTGAAATAAGAGAACTGAAGATTTTAAATTTCCTTATTTTCAGTATTTTCATATGCTATGAGATATTAAGATATGCAGGCTTAATATTCATGAAGAGCAACTGAGAGAAGAAAGAATTCCAAGAGGTTAATATTTGATTTTTGTTTCAGAAACTTGAAGTGCCTTTTGCTGATAATGTGTTCTACTAGACATAGAATCTTGTAATTATAACCCAGATCTCCCAGTAGAAGAATCCTGTTGGAAAAAAGTCAAGATTTTACTGTATTACCTGCTTCTTTTACTATATCTTTGGAAAGATAATGCAGATGGTTGTTGAAATCTGTAGAATATGTGTACTTTTCGAATTCTTGTGAACGTGTTTATTTACTCTTGGTGCCGTTACCTAGCCCACCATAGTTTAGACTACTGCTTTACACAGCATATGTGTCTGACCAGTCTTCATATGCTGTGTTGTTAGCCTGCAAATTGACCATTTTATAAAATCACATAAATTGACCTGCTGTAACATGCAGTGACTACATCCTTCCCTGTGGTCTTTCCTTATAGGCTAAAGAGCAGATGGGTCCAAGATTTTTTTCATAGAACTTTGGAGACAACAGAGGCACCCATTCCTATTTCTAGATTTCATGGTCATTTCAAGCATCTCTGTTCTTAAATAGTGAGCTAGTATAATCTGGTTTTAGTTATTGTACTAGAATGTAAGACTTCTGGCTAGTCTACTAGTTTCAGGCAACTTTGTGCTTGTGTGGTGATAGAATAATTTTTATTTTTATTTTTTAGATTCGTCATGAAGTTAGCTTTAAAAATATGACTCATAAGCTGTGCAGTGACCATTGCTTCAATAGATACAGGATGGCAAATGGTTTAATAATGAATTGCTGTGAGCACTGTGGGGAGTATTTGCCCAGTAAAGGAGCTGGAAACAATGTTCTTACTATTGATGGTCAACAAAAAAGATTCTGCTGTCAGAACTGCGTTGGTGAATACAAGCAGGTAATTATTTCTTTATCTACAAATTAGAATTAGATAAACATTAATACTTCTTAAGTTTATCCTGCTACTAATAACAGTTTTACTTCTCATGAGAAAACATAAGTAACAAAGACTTCCAAAAATGAAATTAGTGCCAATGAGGGCAAAGTAGCTGCAATGCAACTTTTACTACTGTTTTTTTTAATGTTGCTGTAATAGCGATACCTGTTTGTTATTAATGAAAATATAACTGAAATTAAAGTTTCTGTTAATAACTTTTATTTCTTTCTAATGGGTGTATCTGAAGTGTATTAATAGCAAGCACAACACAGGGGCTTACTGGTCCTTAAGTTCTTTTTTTAGATATAAAAGCTCACTTGTATGCAGTTGAAACATTCAAAAATATGCAGAGCGTACAGGTTGGACATTGCTGCAAAAAGACTCTAACTGGTTACACTTTGGCTCTGTACTTGTACTGTCTAATCTCCACTGTACAGCATAGGATTAAAAAAAAATATTGTTACTCTCATCTTTCAATGTGTTAAATTTTCTGCCTTCATTTTCTTTACTTGGTTTGTTTTTAATTTATTCTTTAGATTGTTAAGATAGTAATAATTGTTGTGGTTAAAAATAATTCCAAATCAAGACAACAGATGCTGATGTCTTTTACATATTACAGAGCCATCTTAGTTCTGAAGCATCTTGCTAATGCTGGCTGGAAGGTTTAAATGTTAACCACAGCATTTACAGTATAATAGGATAGCTCTGAAATATTAAATATTTCTGGGGAGGATATGCCATTGGGGTATTCTAGTTTTTTTTGTTTGGGTTCTTTTGCTTGGTATGTTCTGTTCTGAGTTTATAGAGGTAGTGTTCTCAAATATCACAGTACTGTTTTACTTGCAAGAAATTTCTGTTTCTGATTTTGAAAATCAAACCTGAATATGTGAGTGGCCCCAGTGCTGCACATTGCATGGGGTTCTTTCTTCATCTCTTTCCATTTTTAAGAAACCAGTGGTCCAAGAGAAGAAGAGGCATCACAGTGCTTAATATTGCCTCGTGTATTTGTATTTTCTCATTGGACATTCAGTTCTGATGCTTTTGGGGATGGCTGTTCTTGTGTATATGCTACGCGTAAAGAGCAAATCTGGAAATGGTGTAACTGGAAACATAACATAAGCGTTATTCTTTTGTCACAGCTATGCCAAAAGGGACAGGATAGGTTTCCAAGATACTAAAAACATAGCCATGCCCAGAAGCCATGGAAAGACTTGAAGAAATATTGAATACTGTATCTTGAAGAAACAAAAAGGCCTGAGATTAACTGTGAACTTGAGACATTCCCACACAACCAATATAACATGCACTGCACGTGGAATATGAAGTGAACATGGAATTTTGAGAGGATGAATGATAAATTTATACTTAACTCTTAAAGACAGAATGTACTCTATTTGTTCGGATATATTGTTGTCTTTTCTGTTTACATATGCATTAGAGAATGAGAAGGATGTGGGTGGCAAGTTGTATGTTCTGGTTTGATTTGGGGAGGAGGAGCAGTTTGCAGTACCAAGAACCTTCACAAGTAGTGTCGAGTATTGTGCATTATTGTGAGGATCCTTAAGAGAACCTTTAAAATCAAGACACGTTATTTTGGTGTATTCTGACAAGCAGATTTTATGCAAGCAGGTTCTTAATTCCTTTGTTGAAATATTTGGTACTGTGCAAGTGTAATAGACTGTGAGAAGCTTTATTTGAGTGCTCATGTGCATCTGGTTTGGAATGGTGATTAAGTGTAATTCTTAACTGTTAGGTTTCAGATATTTCTGGAGTGTTAAGGGTTTGGAGTATTTTTGATATAAAGAGAAACTCTTAAGGGAAAATCCTGTCTGACCAACCTAGTGGCTTTTTATGATGGAGTGCCCCATCTTTCCTGTAAGTTCCCTTCAGGTACTGGAAGGCCACAGTTAGACCACCTCGAAGCCTTCTCTTTTTCAGGCTGAACAATCACAATTCTCTCAACCTTTTCTTGTAGGCGAAGTGCTTCAACCCTCTGATCAACTTGTTGACCCTCTTCTTGGGTCACTACGACAAGTTGATGTATTTCCTATGCTGGAGACCCCAGAGCTGAACACAGAACTCTGGGTGGGGTCTCATCAGAGCAGAGTAGAGGGGCAGAATCCCCTCCCTTGACCTGCTGGCCACACTGCTTTTGATGCAGCCCAGGATACAATTGGCTTTCTGGGCTGTAAGTGCACAGTGCTGGCTCATGTCCAGCCTCTGATCCACCAGCACCCCCAAGTCCTTCTCCCCAGGGCTGCTCTCCATCTGTTCATCTTCCAGCCTGTATTGATGCTGGGAGTTGCCCATACCCAGATGCAGCACCTTGTACTTGGTTTTGTTAAACCTGATGAGATTCCCATGGCCCACTTCTTGAGCTTGTCCAGGTCCCTCTGGATGGTGTCCTGTCCTTCAAGTTTGTCAACTGGACCACTCAGCTTGGTGTCATCTGCAGTCTTGGTGAGGGTGCACTCAATCCCTTTGTCTATGTCATTAATGAAGATATTAAATAACACTGGTCCCAGTACAGATCCCCGAGGACACCACTCTTCACTGATGTCCAGTGGGACTCTGAGCCATTGACTGTGACTGTCCAACCAATTCCTAATCCACTTAACAGTCCACCCATAGAATCCATCACTTGCCAATTTAGAGAGAAGGATGTTGTGGGGGACCATGTCAACGGCTTTACAGAAGTCCAGATAAATGACATCTGTAGCCCTTCCCTATAGGGCAAGACTGTTTGCAAGAGCATGCAGTGACAGTACAAAAGGTTTAAACTGAAAGAGAGTAGGTTAGATTAGATATTGGGAAAAAATTCTTTACTATGGGGGAGGTGAGGCACTGGCACAGGTGTTCAAGGCTAGGTTGGATGGGCTCTGAGCAACCTGGTCTAGTGAAATGTGTCCCTGTCCATGACAGGGGTGTTGGAACCACATGATCTTCAAGGTCCCCTTCCAACCCAAACTATTCTATGTTGCTCAAAAATTAGGAGTTTTAGTGTATGCCGTAGGTGTCCAAAGTTACTCAGGACACAATTATTTGGGAATATTTAGTTGTCTAGCAGGATTTATTTTTATTTGAACTTTTATTTGCATTAAGGTTTTTTGAATTGAATGTGTTCAAGGAATTCTGTTTTTAAAAAGAAATTTCAACTTCAGAAAATGTCACTGACAACCCATTGGGCCACAGTTGATAAACTGTAGGTTGTTTTGTTCAATTGTAACAATATTTTCTTCTGCTTTTAAAGGAGAACTGGTGAAGGAGAGAGTTTGGAAGAGTCATTACATACTGAAATAAACTTAATGAAATCAATAATATAAAAAAAGTTGGTGTTATCATTTGATTACAGCGTTGTGTTGTACAAGTAATTATTGTCTGTCACTTAACAGTTTTAGCAAATGTTTTCTTACAAAAAGAGTTGTAAAATAAATAGGTCATACTGGTATGGGCTTTGTATTAAGCAGTTTATATTGTAAATGTCATACACCTATCAATATTGCTATACCTTTGTAGTAGTAATAAATGAAAACTCATTGTACCTATCTATCTACTTAATCACAATTTTTTTAATAAATATTACACTGATTTGAACAATTAATTTTCAATAATTTATCATGGACATTTTTTTCTTCTTGGAATGAAAAATTTGAAATTATGGGTGATAAAAATTACTGTGGCTCTCAGAATGACAAGTAGTTGGATTACATCAAGTAACACATTTGTTACAAAGGGTTTCTTTCCTCTACTTTATACTGTTGGTGGGAGGAAGAAACAGTGTTATTCCTGGGACAGAGAGCAGTTTTTTTCTGAAGTGTCTTAAGTCTCCTTTGGAGTTGATGGATGTACTTGACTTCCTATGTACCAGTTTCAGAACTGGCTTTAAAACTGAGACACACATAATCTTTAATATTGTATCGTGTGTTTTGCTTTTCTGAGAGGTGATAGCTGTTCTTTCTTTCCTAAAACTCAAAGTGATTACTGAGTTTAGGTGTCTTTCATATAAAAAAGTTATGAAACATAAATAAATAATCTCTGTAAGAATAAAAAAAATTATTAAGCATAACCTAATTAATGCTCACTGTAGTTATATGCAAGAGTGTATTAGTTTCTCGATGACAACAGCCATTTGTGAAGACAGCGAAATGCAAGTCAAGCTTTTTTTAAAAAGAGAAAACAGTGATAAAATCATTCCTTGAAAAGTTAAGTAACTGTAACAATTTGAATAAAATGTCACAACAGAACTGTTTTTGGAAGTGGTTATATTTTTTTAAACCTGAGGATGACCACTACTGCTAGGTTGTAAACTTTAACTGTTGCACTAAGGTTAAAACTCTTTAGTGTAGAGGAACAAGAGGAACTTAAAGAATGACACTAAACCAAAACAAAAATCCAACCAACCAACCAAAAAAAAAAAAACCACACTTGACGAGAATGAGATTACATCTGAAAAGGAGGTGACTAAAATTGTCCATGTAATTGTGCAAATGCTGAAATATTTTATTTCTTTGCGTAGGCATTCCATCTCATTAAAAAGGAAAATGTAACCATTTTAAAAATTACTGTAGTGATTCATTTGAAAATTAGTATCTATGCAACAAATTAGAACTGACCTCAAATATGCCTGCCATAAGTACATATTAACCACAACTACTTAGGTTGTTTCAGTGTTTCTGTTTTGTCTCTCCAAAATTAGTCAACTTTCTTTTCAAGGAAGTTTCCATGTTGTGTTGTGATTTGCTGGATTTGGATACAGACTTGACAGCCTTGTTCTAGGGAACAAGTGCAATTCTGTGACTCAGTTTGTGCAACCAACCATACCTTTCAAATTTCAGCTGTTCAACTAAGCTAAAGCTGAGTCTATGTCACTTTAAAATATACTTTGCTTCCTGGCCTCATCAGTCCACAGTGCTCTTGATTCTACCATGAAAGGCATGTAATGCCTTGCTAGTTTTAGGTGT